ACTCAAAAGGAAAGCCACACCTACCCTCTTGTGACCGTTGATTGTGACAGCCTCCTAAGCCCTGTTCCTTCTTTATGGAGAGTTGTTGTGCAACTTAGACCTGACAAGGCTCAGAATCGCTTCGATAACTTGTCACCATTCACAGAACAAAACTTGAACTCCAGCAGGCCTCAAATGTCCTTTTCTTCCTGTCTGTCCGTTTCCCTCCTTGGGAGCCTGTGTGGTCAGCCCTGTGTGAACACTTGGGAATTCCCCCACCCTGTGGACACTTTCCATTTCCATACGCTGCAGATGGTGTTCCCTGTGTCAAAAACACCATTCCCTTTGCTTCTCTTCCTGGAGAAAGACTGTATAGTCCTCAGATCTGGGTTACTTTCTGCTCCATGCAACCTTTCTTGAACTTCCTTCTCATCATACATAATGTGTCACTCTTTCTCTGTTCCTACAACTTTCTGTTTGCACTTAAAAAGGAAATTCACTTGCCTCCTTGCATTATAGTCACGCCAGCAACAGGGACAATGCCCTGTTTATTTGTGAGTTCCTAGAGCACCCAGCCCAGTGGCGTATACAGTTGAATAAATGAATGCATGCATGAATGAATGAGATGGACGTGCTTGGTAAAGCTCGTATGGACACCAAGGCATCATTTGCCTCCCCGTTTGTTGGCTCGTCATTCTGCAAAGGAGCAGGTGGTGGGTCTCTCTGTTCAGCTTTTGCGGGGTCAGGCAGCTAAGGGAAAATAGGGCATTTCTGACAACCTCGTGGCTGAGCTGCGTCTGACTCCCTGAAAGTCGCTCCTTCTCCGTAGTTCTGATCCCTCTGTCCAGTCTCTGCCCCTGCACTTCTGAACTGGAGAGACTTCAGGAGCACTTTTCAGCATCCATTCAGGTAGCTGGCCTCCTGTAGACCTTGACTGCCAGCTCCTGTCCCCTCTCTGTCCCAGTTTTCATGAGTGGGCCATGGTTGGCTCTCCCAAGCCTGACCCGGACCTCATCACTCAAGTGCTAGAGTCCATCCGTAGCTGGGAGGGTTCCTGCGTTGAACACCAGTTTGGAGACCCAAGTTTTGCTTCCTGTTGCAGCATCTCCTTAGTGCCAGCTTCTGAATATTTCATGTTGGTTTAAATCTTAACATTACCTTCGGCCCAGTTGTCAGTTACTCTTATCCTTCCTTCCCAGAGGCTGTCTGCTTATCAGGTACCCACAGTCTGTCCTCCTTTGCCAGTCCCTCCCGTCACACCTGCAGATGTGTTGGCCACCCTGCTGCCATGGGGCATTGTAGCTCTGCCTCAGACGAGGGCATCGCTCACCGTCCAGGTGAAAAGCCAGGAGCTTCTACCGCCTCCTGCTCCTGGCTAATGCAGGGTAATACCTACCCTGTCTCACCAGAGTTGCTTCAGTTCCATCTTAATGAATCCCTCACATCCACTCTTCACCCCTCTGAAGCATTCTCCACACTGTAGCCAGAAAGATTTTTGTTTTTAATTGTGGTAAAAGTCACATAATATAAAGCACGCTATATTAACCATGGTCTACCTTGATAGCTCAGTTAAAGAATCCGCCTGCAATGCAGGAGACCCCGGTTCGATTCCTGGGTCAGGAAGATCCGCTGGAGAAGGGAAGGCTATCCACGCTAGTCTTCTTGGGCTTCCCTTGTGGCTCAGCTGGTAAAGAATCTGCCTGCAATGCGGGAAACCTCGGTTTGATCCCTGGGTTGGAAAGATCCCCTGGAGAAGAGACAGGCTACCCACTCCAGTATTCTTGCCTGGAGAATACCATGGGCTGTATAGTCAATGGGGCCACAGTGAGATGGACCCGACGAAGTGACTTTCACTTTCATGTGAACTATATCTAAGTCTGCAGTTCAGTGGCTGTAAGTACATTCACATTGTACAGCTGTCACCATTGTCCATCTCCCGGATTTTTCACTTTCCTAAACTGAAACTCTGTCCCTATTAAACACTAAGACCCCCTTCCCCCTCCCTACCTCCCTCCCGCTCCTGGCCCTTCTCATCTACCATTGACTTTCTTTTATTTAAAAAAAAAAATTATTATTTGGCTGGGCTGGGTCTAAGTTGCAGCATCTGAGATCTAGTTCCCTGACCAGGGATAGAACCTGGGTCCCCTGAATTGAAAGTTAGCCAGAAAAATCTTTAAAGGTGTAATATTGTTCATGTCACATTACAGTCCTGCTTTAAGCCATTCTGCACCTTACCTAGCTCCTAGGAATAAAGACCACATTTCTAAAGAATGTTAGAAAACATGGCCTACGGAGCCAAGATTATCTGGCCCCCACTGCCATCTCAGCTTCTCTTTCACTCACTAGCCAACATCCCCCTTCTTTTCCTACCTTTGCCCCGCTTCAGTCCACCCCAGGGCCTTTGAACATGCCATTTCCTTTGTTTGGAACTCTGTTTCTTGTCTTTCAGCTTAAAGCTCATTTAAACCCCTTTTTCACAATGCCTACCTGATGCCTACCCCCACTACCTCTCACAGCTCCCCGAGTCCCCCCTTTATAGCACTTATCACTGTTTTTAATTATATTGTCATGTGATCATTCATTACTCTGTTGCTCCTTAGACTCCAAGGTCCAAGGATAGGGACCACGTCTGTGTTGCTCACAATTTTATAAGCCCTGTGAGTAATGTAGAGTCAGGGACTTGTACATATTATTAATGTCAGATGAAGGAGATGACCCCAGCATGACCCGACCTGACCAGTCCCACAGAAGTTAACCAGGTCTTTGCATAAGCATGTCCTAGGTATGACACTCTGCCACTCAGCTCCTTGTAAACATAGATACTGCCTCATAAAGGGTAAATCCTTTACCTTTATGGCTCATGAAATCCTTACTCAACATCCAGTACTGCTTATTGAAAGTATTCAGATGTCCATGTTTATTACTTAATTTTCTTGTTGTAAGGAATTTGATCAATAATATTAATACATACCATTGTACTTTGAATTCACTCTATTTCCTTGAATTCAGAACCAGTAAAAATTTCATCTCTTCATATTAATTGCTTCTTTTAATCACATGAGAATTCTATCCTCATTGGAAACCCTTTTTTTTTTTTTTTTTGTCTTAGCTGCCAGGGTACTCATGATAAATTTCATGTTTAACATGGTAATATTACCTCTGCCAGGTATCCTATTTTAGCTGTCCTCTGTTGTTTTAAAAGTGATTTTTTAATTGTTCTGTTGTGTTATGCTTCACTATTAAAAATAGGGCAGGATCTTTTCCTTGGAATACATATTTATATGTTGTGCATGCATGCTAAGTCACTGACTCTTTGCGACCCTGTGGACTGCAACCCACCAGGCTCCTCTGTCCATGGGATTTTCCAGGCAAGAATACTAGAGTGGGTTGCCGTGCCCTCCTCCAGGGGGTCTTCCTGACCCAGGGATCGAACCCCCATCTCTTAGTCTCCTGCATTGACAAGCGAGTTCTTTACCACTAGCGCCACTGTGCTCTAGAGCCCTTGCTCCACAACGGGTGAAGCCTCCCACACAACTATTATATGTTACTGAGAGAGTTAACTTCGGTTCATTCAGTTCAGTCACTCAGTCGTGTCCGACTCTTTGCCGTCCCATGGACTGCAGCACGCCAGGCTTCCCTGTCCATCACCAACTCCCAGAGCTTGCTCAAACTCATGTCCATCGAGCCGGTGATGCCATCCAACCACCTCATCCTCTCTCGTCCCCTTCTCCTCCTGCCTTCAATTTTTCCCAGCATCAGGATCTTCTCCAGTGAGTCAGTTCTCCACATCAGGTGACCAAAATATTGAAGTTTCAGCTTCAGTGTCAGTCCTTCCAATGAATATTCAGGACTGATTTCCTTTAGGATTGACTGGTTTGAACTTTTAGTCCAAGGGACTCTCAAGAGTCTTCTCCAGCACCACAGTTCAAAAGCATCAATTCTTTGGCGCTCAACTTTCTTTATGGTCCAACTCTCACGTCCATACATGACTACTGGAAAAACCATAACTTTGACTAGACAGACCTTTGTTGGCAAAGTAATGTCTCTGCTTTTTAATATGCTGTCTAGGTTGGTTATAGCTTTTCTTCCAAAGAGCAAGCATGAGGGAGAGTTAACAGGCAGGTTGATAAGAAGTCCAAGCCTAAGACCCCTTTAAGGAAGAGGTAAACATTCTTTCTTTTTCACATTCTTTTGCCTTAGACAAGTAGGCCTTATAGGCAGCAGTATCTCTTGTTCAAGGACCTGCCTTTTTTTGAGCTTTGGATGTATGTTATGGGAGAAAGTCTGGGTAAAAACTTCCGCAGCCTTGAGCTCTGGGTTAACCTGTTTCTTCTGGCTAATCTCATGCTGATGTCATCCTAGGATGTATGTTATGGGAAATGGTCTGGGCAAAATCCTCACAGCCTTGAGGTATTTTTTTTCTGTTCTCAGCAGCTAGCAGAAAAGTATATAAGGCCCTGCTGAACTAGTGAGGCGGGTACTCTTTCCACCCCTTTCTGATGTCTGTGTCAGAAGCTTTCTTTGTCCTGTCCCTTTAAATAAAATTCTGTGCACAAAGCTCTGAGTGACTGAGACCTGTCTTTGGTCCCAGAGTTAAATCTTCTCCTTTGGAGACCAGGAATCCGGTGGCACTGTTCACCGTAAGCTATCACTACATTATGTAATATGTAACACATTTTGATTTATATGTTACTTACCCGTGGTGTATGTATATGTTTAGTTAGTTAGTTTGGGTCTTTGTTGCCGCACAGCTTTTCTCTAGTTGTGGAAGTCAGGGATACTCTCGTGGCGCGTGGCTCCTCTTGCTGAATGTGCAGGCTCTAGAGCCCAGGCTCCGTAGTTGCGGCTCTTGGGTTTACTTGCTTTGCGACATGTGTATCCTCCCGGACCAGAGATCAGACTCATGTCTCCTGCCTTGACAGGTGGATTCTTTACCACTAAGCCACCAGGGAAGCCTGATGCATGTGTCATATGTGATATGTATTACAAAGCCCTTATACCCCCTTTTTTTAATCCCATAGTGGTAGCAATCCATATTCTTCGTTTGGAGCCACGCTGGCGAGGGATGATGAAAAGAATTTGTGGAGTATGCCTCACGACGTGTCCCACACAGAGGCAGACGACGACAGGATCCTGTACAACCTGATTGTCGTTCGTAATCAGCAGGCCAAAGATTCAGAGGTAAGCAGCTTTTGAGATCTTGCCATGTGCCGATGGTAATGCATAGCAAAAGAGACCATGACAGGGAAGAACAGCTTGAAATCGAGAAAAGAATGAAGCATGATATGTGTGACACGAAGGGCAGGTCTTTTAGCAGCATCTAGTCACGGATTATAGCTGGTCTTGGTATACCTGTTTAATACACAGATAAGCCTGATTTCTACTTGCTGCTTTAATGATATAAATTACAACTGTATGGCAACAGCAAGGCAGTGCTGTTCAGATCATGAAGATACTTTATTGTCTTAAATAGCATAACCAGTCGGGTCTAATCTTTCCAGTTGTTTGGCAAGCCGCAGTTCAACATTCAGACTGAAGATTGGAGGGTACTTTGCATCATCCCCAGTTTTGAATTAATGGAGCCTGAATTGTTTTTTTTTTTTTTCCTGTTTTATCTTCTTGAATTGTGCTTATTGATCAAATAGTGTATCTGGCGTATTTGAGATGATTTGTGTGATAAGGCTTGAAATCACTCTTAATGGACTTTTAATCAAAGTTATTGATACAGGAACACTAGACTATTGAAAAGGAGATGACCTCATAAATTAAGAGAAAACAGCAAAAGGGATCATATTTTATTTTCTCTTTTTTTTCAAAAGTAGTATTATATACTATAACAATTCAGTATAATGTTATATTATGGGTGTCTTTTTCCATATAATACAGCCTAAGTTTTCTAACCTCTGTGTTCAACTGTTAGTTCTGAGTAGATACCTATATTAGATATGACTTTATGTGTTCCTTTGTATATTATAGTAATTGAGAAGAATAGGGACATTTAAAATGCCAGGCTCTTGCTTTGAAGTAAAGTACCAGACTGTGTGTGTATGGGGTAGTTAGGGCAAGGGAGGTCTGTTTCTTATGTAGGTTTCTTTATATTTTTGATTATTAATTGTTTTTTCTCCAAAACATGCTGTAGCAGGATATGAGAACTTTTTTTTTTTAGTTACGTGGCTTGTGGGATCTCAGCTCCCCAGTGCAGAGATCAGTCCCCCACCCCCTGCCGTGGAAGTGAGGAGTTCTAACCACTGGACCGCCAGGGAAGTCCCAATAACGTTTAGAAGAGCCACGTGTCCCAGTCCTTTTATTCTAGTGTGATCTGGGGTACCTTAGGGGGATAGAGGTAGACTTAGAAGTAAGGAATCACAATTGCCTCTGGTTCTTAAGACCTGGGGGAAGGGTAGCTGAAGAGTTCCCCCAGTGGCTTTGATGAGCATCGTTTCTTGGCTGTGGGGTCCTGCTGAGGACCACTTCTACAAAATATTGGTCACAGAGCTTAACTCAAAGACTAGGGGAAGGAAATGGCAACCCACTCTAGTATTTTTGCCTAGAAAATCCCATAGACAGAGGAACTGGTGGGCTGCAGACCAGGGGGTCACAAAAGAGTCGGGCTTGACTTAGCCACTAAACCACCACCACCACCATCCTACTAGTGGCCCTGCACCTGCTACCTGGCTTCCCTTATCCCCACTGCAATCCCCTCCTCCACTGGAAACGTTCGAAAGACGTCATACAGGCTGCTTAGGCCAGGAACAGCCGTCCTGGCTGCCCCTCCTGAGCATATGGACAGGAATGCATGCATGACCTAGTTTTCCCTTAGATGGGAAGAGATAGTCCTTACCCTACTGTATTGAGCTGACCGGTTAGGGTTTCTGCTGGTGAGAATGGAACCTGTTCTTTATTTTCCTTTTCTTTCCCCACTCTGCTCAAAGCTGTGACAGTAATAGGGAAATGAAACGTGTAGTACTCCTCTCTCTCCGCACAGGGTCTCATGCCAACTCGGAAAGGGGCTTGAAGGGTGTTTGCACGGGGCCTGGCAGCTCTCNCAAAGCTGTGACAGTAATAGGGAAATGAAACGTGTAGTACTCCTCTCTCTCCGCACAGGATCTCATGCCAACTCGGAAAGGGGCTTGAAGGGTGTTTGCACGGGGCCTGGCAGCTCTCTCGGAGGAGCTCCAAGTTCTCTGCCCTGTTTGCCTTTGCTATTGAAGAATCAGTGGAGGAGGCAATGTGAGCTGCAAGTCGCCCTGAATAAGCACAGCTTCCAAAGAGGCTATTGTGTCATTCGTGCTGCTCTTGGGCCTGTGTGAAGGGCCTTCCAGAATGCTGTTTCTTCTCCTTGCCTAAGAAGTAAAGTCAAGTTTAACTCTAGAGAAAGAAACCCTGCAACCAGGACAGGCCATCAGGTCAGCAACATGAAGATGTGACGATGTGATGATGATGATGAAATGGTGTGAAATGTCTGTTCATAGTGCTTCCTTCTTTTTAGGTGTAAAATATATATATATAAATATATTCCCTGGTGGCTCAGATGGTAAAGTGTCTGCCGGCAGTGCAGGAGACATGGGTTCAATCCCTTCATCAGGAAAATTCCCTGGAGAAGGGAATAGCTATACACTCCAGTATTCTTGCCTGGAGAATTCCATGGACAGAGGAGCCTGGCAGGCTATAGCTCATGGTATTGCAAAGAGTCAAACATGACTGAAGTGACTAACACACTATATCTATGTGTATACATACATATATACACATAAAGTGAAAGTTGCTCAGTCGTGGCCGACTCTTTGCCCCCCCATGGACTGTAGAGTCCGTGGAATCCTCCAAGCCAGAACACTGGAGTGGGTAACCTTTCCCTTCTCCAGGGGATCTTTGCAATCAGGGGATTGAACCCAGGTCTCCTGCATTGCAGGTGGACTCTTTATCAGCTGAGCCACCAGGGAAGCCCTATACATATAAAGGTGTTTATAAAGTATGTATTTTAAGGTACATGGGCTTCCCTGGTGGCTCAGTGGTGAAGAATCTGCCTGCAATGCAGGAGACCTGTGTTCGATCCCTGGGTAGGGAAGATCCCCTGGAGGAGGACATGGCAACGCATTCTAGTATTGTCGTCTAGAGAATCCCATGGACAGAGGAGCCGGGAAGGCTGCAGTCCATAGGGTCGCATGGAGTCGGACACAACTGAAGTGACTAAGCAGCAGTGTCTATATATACATACATACGTAATATATGAAAAAGAAAGTGAAAGTGTTAGTTGCTCTGTCATGTCCAACTCTTTGTGACCCATGGACTGTAGCCCACCAGGTTCCTCTGTCCATGGAATTCTCCAGGCAAGAGTATATATACACGTGGTTAAAAAAAGTTTATTTTCTACCAAAAGTATGATACGCATATAAAAGGATGGTTGTTCAGTTAAGTCCTGTCTGACTCTTTGCAACCCTGTGAACTGCAGCATGCCAGGCTTCCCTGTCCTTCACTGTCTCCCTGAGTTTGCTTAAACTCACATCCATTGAGTCAGTGATGCCATCCAACCATCTCATCCTCTGTCGCCCCCTTCTCCTCTTACCCTCAGTCTTTCCTAGTATCATTCTCCCCACAGATTGGATCATATGTTACATATCATTCTGTACTTGTTTTTTTTTTCCATTTAATAATATATTTTGGACATATTTCCATTTCACCATGTGTTCAGTTCAGTTCAGTCGCTCAGTCGTGTCCGACTCTGTGTGACCCCGTGAATCGCAGCACGCCAGGCCTCCCTGTCCATCACCAACTCCCGGAGTTTAATCAAACTCATGACCATCGAGTCAGTGATGCCACCCAACCATCTTATCCTCTGTC